CTTTGACTCATTATTCGCAGCAGTTTTAACCAGTTGTGGTACCTTTGGCAACTCATTAAATATACTCTCTATATTTGTAACGTTTAGTTTGCCTTCTGAAAACAAATAAAGTGCAAAGTTTGTTAGAAGAAGGGAATTAAAACAAAAAAGGAAAGAAATTAAGCTATGGTGTTACTTTTTTGAATCCACAACCAATGTTACAATAATTAGTATACAATTTATGAATCCGAAAATAAAATGCACTTTATTTCTAAAGTTTCAAGTATAATGAGGGAAAAAATTGACACAAACTTGACTGAATACAGTCAACACTTTCTCTTATTGTTCAAAAAAAATTTTATAATTTTTTTTTTTTTTTTTTTATATGAGTTTGCTGATAGGTGTACGCGTGCTTGTGTGTGTTCAACAACGAGACACATTTAATTAGAAAAAAAAAAAGCTGCACAAAACATGAAATATTACAAACAAAACTAATGATCTATTTTTTTAGTTACGCAATTTAACTTTAAAGTCTTACGTTTCTCCACAGACTTAGCATCATCCGTACTAACGTTGGCACTCTTCACGTTTCGTTGCCGCCTTTCGTAGCCACTTCGTCTTGACCGTCTTTTGGCATTAATGTCACTATTATTATTCTTGGCTTGCTCTATGACGTCACCCCCTTCTTTTCCTGCCAATGCGTTATATTTTTGAAATCCTCTTTTTTTAACGAAAGCGTAATGTCTATTCTTCGTTACTCTTTTTACGTTAAATTGTTGCTGCTCTTGAAGTGTTAAGTCTTCCATAGATTTAAGAAACGATTTGTTTGGATTTTTTTTAAATTCCTCACCACGAAAAGATCCATGCCGACGACACATGTCTATGATGTGCGCAAAATCCTCGTTCATGCTCAATGTTTCCGCATTTCCAATTAGTATGAGTAGTGATTTCGCGCGAGATATGGTTACATTTAAACGCTTTAAAAATTAATATCAATACATACACAGTTTGATGTTATTTTGATAACAGTTTTGCTTACTCTTGGATTTTTAAGGAAGCCCAAAGTTTCCATTCTTGATCGTACAAAAGAAACAATTATTATCGGTTTCTCGCGACCCTGAAAACTTTCCACTGCCCCTGTTTCGATTTTAAACCATTTCCGTAAATTCAATTGTTCCTGTATACATTGATATTGTTTCTTATAAGGCGAAATTATACCAATATCGGACTCGTTAACTGGCTCACCGTTGATACCATAGTATAAGAAGTCTTTAACATAATCCATAACTACATTCAATTCTACCAAGTTAAATAAACTGAAAAAAACCAATCATAGTAATGTAGGATGACATTATGTTTACATATACCCATATATATATATATACATATATATATATATATCTATACGCGTATGTACATATATGTACAAACCTTACTGATTGGCGATCCCGTTCACAATAACCTTTAACAGAGTGAAATATTATGGGATATTCATGATTGGGCGTTTGATGCCACTTTTTGGCTAAGTCAACATCACCTGATAATAAAAAACATAAATCATAACAAAAATTTGCTGGAGAAGAATATGCAACTTACTTATATTAGACTTTGCTTCTAATGTATGATTGTAATATAAGCCGCTAAATAGATTCACAATCTCTGGATGTGAACGGAAATTCAAACGCAAGCGTGTTTGTATTGAACGATTATATTCCCTGGTATCATCATTAGAACGATAGCATTCACGTTCCATAAGCCGGTCCATCAAAGAGACCCCTAAACCTAGATTCTCGGCTCGCGTCGATTGCAGAATTGGCCCTAATTGCTTGTGATCGCCGGATATTATTAAGCTGGTTGCATTGTTAGCAATATTTACTATAGCGAGAAGTGCTTCGGTTTCCGTACAAGCAGCTACCTCGTCGATAAAGATATGAGTGAATCCTTCACCGAAACCGCCCATAGCTAATTTAGCGACTATTGACAGTGTACAAACAACAATACGGTACATATGTAGTACCTCAACGCTTGGAAAAAAATGAGAATCGTACATATTTGACTTATCTAATAGCAAATCATCGATAAAATCGACGCGTTTCTCATAAGAGCGTGCGTAAATGCGCACAATAGCTCGTCTCAGATTTAATGGCTCCATCGCGTGACATAAGCGTAAAGCTACCTCATCACACGCAGCATTTGATGATGCTGCTACCAAAATTTTTGTATTTGACTTTTTCAATAGCTGTAAAATCGCCTCCACAACTGTAGTGGTTTTACCTGTGCCAGGAGGACCAAAAATTATGTACGTAGCATCACGACGTGGTCCCTGAACAATATTACAAACGGCTTCGAATTGTTCAGGATTGTGTTCTATATGTTTGTTATATAATTCCAAACTAAGCGTTTAAAGAAGACGATTAAAAGCTGATATGAATTTGAAGCATAAACTATTTATTATTTACCTTAAACGAGCTGCTGGAAGTGGATTTACATCGCTAGGAAATAGAAATCTTTGAAATTTCTCCATGTTAGAATTTAATGTGCTTAAAGCATCATACTGATGGCGTATTGAAAATCGAGAGGGACGAAATACGACTGTATATTTGGCGTGTATTGGTATAATTTCGCCATCACGACGAAAACTAACACGATTCACGTTTACAGCCGTAATGATACCGTAATAGGTTTTTCTCGCTCCTTTTAGTATAACATTATCAACAGGTGTCAAAATATTTTCAATAAATACTTTGTTGCCTTTTAACTAAAAAATTTGTCAATTTTTTTTTTTTTTTTTTTTTTTTAATTACTTGTAATATTAAATCTTCGTTCTTCTTACGTACTTTTAATGAATAATCGTCACCACAAGAGTTCACTACGACATTCTGTTGTGTTAATTTATCGTATTCCTTAGTAGTGTCAACATCTTCGATTTGCAATAAAATTTGTAACGATGAAGCGTACGTAGATATTTGCAAGATTTTATCATTTTTGATATATTCTCGAAATTCCTTTGAATTTTTCATTAAGGCTTCGCAAAAGAAATCGTCGCTTAATGCGTCCTCAACCTTTTTCGGCGGAAGGTAAAATGGCAGTTCAAACTTTGATTTAAAGGGTCTGAGAGAAAGAAAACAAAATAACACGAAATCTTATAAAATACGTTTTTTCTTTAAATATAAAATTAAAATTTTTCAACTCACGTCGATTTCGGTATATGATTTGGATTATAGCCAAATTTTATGGAAGGAAGCTCATGGGAAATCTGCAAGAATGTCGCAATGAAAAGTTCATAAGAATTTTTTAAATTACGCATTAGTGCAACTCTACCGTAAGATGATGCTCCTCAACGATACGAACTTCTTTGCTTTCCTTTAGATGGCACACTAACACAATCGGGTATTCCACGTGCAAAGTAAACAATTGTGAGTCCACGTAAAAGTTGTCGTATCCCTCGACGGGCATCTCATAGGGAACTTTTAGATTGTGCGCATAGATTACAGAACGAGTTTGCACTAGAATGATCCTTTCAATAACTAAATTATCCTCAGTGGTTCTTACGAAAGTAATGCACAACTTATGCGAATCTTTACAGAATTTGTAGTGCATTGAAAATGTCGGCGATTCACTAAGAAATAACATTTGATCAGAATATTGGCCATAAATAGGATATCTTGTTGTACTCACAATTTTTTTAAGGAATTTAGGAATTCAAAGTCGCTATCGTCGCTATGCTTCTGTATGTGCTCTTCATACGCGCACATGGTTTCAAAATTTTCTTGACATATACCGCATCCGGTGTTGGTTAAATAGAAATCGTTTTTTCTTTCCTGCAGTGTTGTGCCTTGATATTGTAACTGATGCACTTGTGAACTTTCATCGATTTCATCTTTTATTAATTTTTAATATTAAAACAATTAAAAAAAAAATTAATTAAACACATACTTTGTCATACTTACCGTTCGGTCCTGCATTGTTTTCGTTATCAATAGATTTACTTGGCTGCCCATTGCTAATGTCCAAATTAATTCTCAATTTGTCCAATCTTTCAAGTTTATTCTTACGATAACGGATCAAAGTTGAACTCTTCAGTTTATAAAAAGGACTTTTGTCAGAAGATTCCACTAAAAATCCAGCATTTTGTAATAATTCGCCAAACTACATCAATTGGATAGAAAAAATTTTTTCTAAGATGAATAATGACTCGAATTTATTTTCAATTTTGCTTAAGGAGTTGCTTGGAAATGTCTTACTATTATTTTGTATAGTACTAACACTTTTCTACACGTTTTTCAAATAAGTTTGACTCGCGATTGAAGGAAGCTTTTCTTTTTCTGCTTATTTTGCCGAAAATGATATATGTTTGCATGCATCCCTGCCAAAAACACAGATCTCTATTTGAAAAATAGAAAATATTTAGCTTTCAAAGTTTGAACGCAGCTATTACGCACGCACGCACACATGCATATATCTATATACACATATACAATTATGCTTACCGCTGTGGTCTTGTCCGGACTTAACAGCTGAACTTTGAAAGTTTTATATACGAATTTTTTAAAATATTATTTAAGCGTTGCTCTGTCATAAAGGCTTAAAGTTTGAATTAAATAATGTTTCTGTCAAAGCTCGTGTAACCCATTAGACTTAAACTTCTTACGTGTAAAACGGTTGAATTATAAGAAAGCTTTAGACTATCTATTTGTCAGTCTTTCGAAGACCTTCAAGCCGAACCCTGTTGTTTTCGATTGAGATATCTCTTTTTCGAACCATGGCTCTTCGAATCGTGGCTCTTGATTTAGCTACCTAACAGATGTAACTTATTTCTGGGTATCTACTCAGAAAAACAGTAATTGTAAATCTGATTAAACTAATCCCGAAATTCATCATAAATAAATAATTTTCCACAATTCCAAAGTGCATCAAAAAAATATTTTGGTCGCACATCAAGTTTATGTGACCGAACATGCATTTTGATAAAGAATATATATAACCCCGGACAACGTAAACGAAATCTGCGGGCCGTGACAGTCGTCTCTATTTCTTTTATACGGAAGGCTTTCGTGGTAATGTGACACTCGTTCATAAATTGAATTTGTAGAAAAAAAATGTTCAAAATTTTGGGAATAAACAAATCAAATCAATGTAGTTTTTCGATTGTCCCGATCAAATTGTCCACATCTCGTTGAAAATCCAAATTTGGAATTGGTAGTTTTAAGCGAATTTAGAATATCAATTTAAATAAATATTTGTTTGCAACCGGCAAAGTTTAAGTTTATTCTTCGCCTTTCATCAAAGATGTTGAATAAAATTATGGAAGAAGTGGTAACTTTTTCATGGCAAACCGGAACATTTAAATGACACAACCCATCAAAGTATTCTATGAGGTCATCTTCAACATCTAACGATGTTGGAAGAAGTAATTTTGCATTTCATTGTGATCCCATACATCGAGAAAACTTACATACGTGCTATTGCCTCGAGTCGAAATTATTTTGAAAAGGATCCTGCAAGACCCTCATGGCCATATAACGATAATTTAAAAATTTTACCATATAACAATTCGCGTCAGAATGTACATATACATATTTTTATATATATTAAAGTGTTCATTTCGGATTTATAATAAACTCACTTCACAAAATAAAATGATTTATAGATGGAAATTATGTTTACTTTGTATTTATCCCATTATTTCAAAACCAAACAATAAAACCAATCGAGATATCGATTTTTTTTTGTTTTTGTTTTAAATGTGGACTTATCATAGAAATATGAAACTGTTGACGGGTAATTATTACTTTGTATATATACATACACATGTACACACACACACATATATATATATATATATGTAAAAAGAATTTATTTTTAACTTTAATTACTTGTTGCTTCCTCACGTTTTATCCCGTTTCTAGCAATAACTGTACTTACATTATCGATATCGCTCAATTTCTCAAATTTTTTTCCTACTTTAGCAGTTTTTGAAAATGTTAAAAACTCTTTCAATGTTTCCTCTTTTCTTAGGACGCTGAACTCATGTTTGTTTTTTGTGAGCACTTGACGATGATAAAGGTTAAGTAGAAAGTCGCCAATCAATTCATATTCTAGAATGGGTAAAGGATAATGTTAACTATGTGCTGTGTTAACAATTTTGTTACGGTTTACCCACCCTCTTGATTCCATTTACGTCTCTTTGGTTTCGCCGATTTATTAGAAACTAATGAAATGTTTGTTGCGGTTGACTCATCGCTGTTAGACATTTTTGTTAAATAACTCGAAACCGTGTTGCTCAGTAACGCGATAAATGTAATTATAATAACAACACAAATAATAATAAATAAGTAAAAAAAAAAATAGTTGATACGGCAAAACGCAATAGCGATGTTTGCCCGCTTTCGTCCAGCAATGTTCTGTTCTGTTTGTAAAAAGGCAAAAACAGTTATATATAGATGTATTAAATAGACTTTCATACGCTGCAATCTCTACATATATTTGGAAACTGTGTGAGACTCGATAATAACGGCAAATAAAAAAAGGGAAATACCCTGAAATAGGAACAATAACAAAAACGAAGTATTTGTATTCATCAATTATAAGAAATGCTGATCATACAAATACCCTACTAACGTCATAAACTCTTCATTATTGATATTGTACTTCTATATAGTGCATAATTAAATGCTTTTGGTCGAGCTTGCTACACCTACTTTTTATTTTATTCAAGAGGTAGAGATTGAAATATAACCCAAAAAGAGAATAAAAACGAAATAATCACGAGTTAGTGTAAAATCTTTTTTTTTTAATACAATTTTAGATGAAATTTGACTAAATGTTTAAATATTTGCGATTATTTCGCGGTTCTTCTGTCTGAAACAAATTGATGGGACTGTGAAAATAAATACAAATGGAAACGAATGAAGCTGCATTTGCATATAAAGTCCGCAATAATCGTCCATTGTGAACATCTCTATACATATGATTTATTTTATTAAATGGTAAATTCATATCGTCAGTATATCGTATAGTAGATGAGTTCATCAAGACAGCGTAACATGCCATCAAATAAAAATTGATTAAAAACATCTTTATATAAAACATGAAATTCGGAACTTATGTTACCAATTCTGAAATATTCTATATTTCGATTAATTAATCAAATTTCCGAAAGCATCGAATTACTGACTTGCTTAACAGAGACCTCGAAAGGAAAACCTGCTTTGATTTTAAAAAGGTATCTATTCATAAATATCGAAAAATTGGAATAATTTGTTTTACATCAAAAAAATAAAATAATAAAATTGTTCTAACCTCGGAACAAACTGCAACGATACATCGGTGCACAAATCAAACTTTATTTTTGGTCGAGTTAATCTAAAACTTATTAATCGGTATTTGATTAAATTTATGTTTCCTTTATAAACAAAATAATTATTCAAATTATTGATGGTATAGAAATCGGACCACTTTGCAATTAAAAAAATCATATCAATATTATCATTATTATATGAAATTTTAGTTTGAAGTGAAACGTACACTGCGAACATAATTATATCTCTAAAGCAAAATAGTAGGTCATTTACTTTGTCTTTATCGTAGGTCGAATTTTGTCGTAATTTTTTAGGTTTTTCCTATTTTGTATATAGCGTAGGTACGCACTTTTTAATTTTTATCTTAACCTGTCTCTATCTCTATCTCGACTTAGCTTTTACTTTCGATTGCATTACAACTTATTCACTCTCTCTTAGCTATTGTTCTTCCGTCTCAATACTCATATATATACATTTTTAAATGCATACTATTGCTTGCCTGCTTGTAAAATGCATTGATATCCTATCATGAACCATCATATTTATTTCATAATTCAAAATTAAAAGAATGAAGGGACAACATTGAAAAAGAAGATTGTCCTGAGATTGGCTGCACATGTGCGTCTCAAGGCCAATTTGATCGATCTTTGATCTTAAGCAGATGACATTGACAGTGAAAACAAATGATTTTGAAGTTGATGTTTTAAAACAAAGCTATGAAAAAATTAAAAAAGTTATGCAAATAAATTTTGCCATTTACGCGGAAAAAGTTCACATGACGTTACCGGGTCATTAGTAGAGACTAACATAAAATTCGCTTTAAGCTTTGTAAACAAGCGGAAACATAGTTTCTACCTTTGCGTGCATGGATTTCTACTATCATTATAATAATTAGTTTTTTTTGACTCATTTTAACAATAATGCACATGATTTCATGTAAACCCTTGCATTGGAGGGTGTCCAAAGCGTCAGTTGAAGTGGTTCACATTTAGCAGATTTTACTTTGTTTTCGAAGATTTCATCATTTTTCTCTAATTTTCATCATAAAAGTTTAGAAGCTGGATTTTTTCACTAAAAACGGAACTTACATATAATAGCGGATGGTTTGCATTCTTGTACATAAGGCGTAGAGTGCTACGTAAAGTAAATGTAGAAAATTTCAGCCTTCCAACTTTTATAATTTCCGAGTAACGAGCAAAAGTCCAAAAATTAAAAAAAAATAAAACGAAGTTACGTTCATTTTACGCTTTACTGCGCGCTTCCGCTCCGACCGATTTGGCCCACTTTTAATACGATGGGTGTTCCCATACATTATGGAAAAAAACAGAATGGGTGTACCACCATCTCTGTTAGATATAGAAACAAGAGTACTTGGTTAGTTCTCAAGAGCACGTAGAGACATACAAGCTTAGATCGATTCAGAAAATGTTACAGCAAATGATTTTGATTCGATCGGCATAATAAGAGGCAAGTCCTCTTCGACATTTGGACGTCAAATACATCCATATATATATAATTACATGTTTCCGGCAAAATATAGGATATAAAAAGAAAAAACAATGTTTAATATGAAAATCTGTTAGCTTTTTCCCCTACTACACTGATGCTATAATTCATAGAAGTTTTTCACACAATGTTGCACTTATAATGCATCAATTGCGATATTGATGAGTTGTAAAAAGTTGCACTCTTGATAATAGTTGAATCCAGCGTTGCTAAATGTCGTATTACAATAACACACGTATTGGAATTTTTTTCCTTTAATAACGTCAGTCACATTCATTAGGCAGGAACTTTATTTTTAAAAGGAAAAGAGTTTTTCAAAACTAGCCGGTTTTTGTAGTTAATTAAATTTCTCGCATATTCTGAGAAAATATTACTAATTTAGTAAGAAAGGCAACGCAATGGAAAAAATTTACATTTCCTTGTCTGGTGGTGGTGGCGTGATGCTGCAACGCTGTTGGGCGTTTTTAGTCATTTTTCTTGTGAGCGGCTTTGCTTTTGCTTTAACACAAGCCATACCAGAAACCGGGACAGTTAGCGGTAATGGTGAAATGAGGCATAAGGAAGCGGTAATAGAATTGACCGAAGATAATTGGCGTTTAATGTTAAAAGGAGAATGGATGGTCGAGTTGTAAGTAATTGTAGACGGGACGAGATCATAGCTGAAGTACGTAAATTTTAATATAACTTCTAGTTTTGCTCCGTGGTGTCCAGCCTGTAAGAATTTGGCTCCCACTTGGGAACGATTCGCTGTAACTTCTGTGGATCTCGGTGTTAGCGTAGCCAAAATAGATGTGACCACTTCAACTTCATTAAGTGGACGTTTTTTTGTTACTGCCTTGCCAACGATTTATCAGTAAGTTTGCGAGGATTCGTTTAACGTAACATTCAACTGCAATTTCTGTTAAATTACAGTGTTAAGGATGGCGAATTTCGTCAATATCGTGGAAGTCGCGATTTTGATGCCTTAATATATTTTATCAAACAAAAACAGTGGAGCAAACTGGAGCCCATTTCGGCCTGGAAGAAACCGGACACCGTGCACATGTCTATTCTTTCATACATTTTTAAGTTATCACATACTTTAAAGGTACGCAAGTGGTTTAATATTTATCCAATTTCGTGATACGAAAAAAATTCTATAACTTTTTAAAGGAATTTAATGCTCGTTTGCAAGAAGAATATGGTTTACCCACTTGGGCTGCCTATGCTTTCTTTGCAATCGGTACGATATTTGTGGGAGCCGCTTTAGGTTTAATGTTGGTTTGTGTTATTGACTTCCTTTATCCGCCTAAAAAAACTCAACGACAGAGTTTTTCGGAAGCCAAAGAAAAACAACAAAACGGCATCGAAGATATAGCCAACGATGAAATCGAGGATGAGGAAATCAACGAAAATGAAGAAGATGAAGAGGTTACAGGCGCCGGTGAGGACGAGGAACAAAATGAGGATATTGATGATGTCTCCTCTTCTGACGGGGAAAAGCATTCACCTAGTGAGTCGGACGACGCAGACAGTGAAAAGAACAAGACTGAAGCGGCTAAAATTGAAGACGAAAAGTCGAGTGAAGAAAAATCCGCTACTACTAGTCCCAGTGAAGTTCGCAAACGTAAGCCACGCAAAGCTGATTAAGGAAAATAACTGAAATGCGTCTTTAGCATGCATAACCCTCGTCGGCGTTTTACGAACAAATTCTTAACGGTATTTAATTTTTCCTTTTTTTTTTACTTTGATGGGCGAATGAAAATTGATGGGAGAAAGAAATGATGCAGAAATCAGCAAAGTTACGACTTACTGGCGTTGTGTTTTGAATACTTATAGAGGAAACGCACAAAAAAAAAATTGTTTCCTAAAAAAAAAATTTTCAGTTGAAGTTCTTTATTCTTAAAATATGCACACGCATACAAACATATATTTGCCTTACTTTACTTCACTATTTTTCTTGAACGAAACATTCTTTTCACATGAATCATTTACCCAAATTACATTAGCAACAAATGCTTTTATTAATGCTTTTTTAGATTATTATTCATTTTTATAGTTTTTATATATTTACAGGAAACATAATAATCTTATTAAGATTTTTGTAATTTTGTGAGCGCAGGCATGGTCGACACATTTGGTTTTAATTTTTCCGCATTTTTCTTATTTAAGTTACCATAAGAGCATTTAGCATTTGATAGTCCCTATGTGTCAACGTGTGCGAATGTTTTCACAATTCATCACAGAAAGCACCATAACAAACTGAATTCTTTTATTTTCTTAGTATAAAAAGCTATTTATTTCATTTATTTGAAATTATTTCTTTCACTTATTTTGAAGAAACGCAATATATGGACTTTTAGTCCCCACATGCAGGCATACTGAATTCTTCTGTTTATTTTTTCTTATTATTTGTTTGAAATGAAAAAAAATAAAACTATTTGCAGTAATGAACCATTAGATATTATTGCTGCTTTTACTAATCCAGTTTCACATATAAGAGTATTTAATGTATTAATAAATAAAAACTTTAAAAACTGATTAATAATAAAACAATGAACGTCTAAATTCATAAAATTAACATGAAATTTACATCATCTTCATATAAAGTAAGTTTTAATAACGATAAATCGATAGAACGAAAATAAAAACCTTAATAATAAAAGGCTTAAGAAGCCAAAAAAAAAAAAAAAACAAATCGTATAATCATGTTAAACATATAAAAGCAACCTATGGATTTTATATAATTCGTTCAAACAAAGCGAAATTTCAAACTTTGTCTGAGGGACTTTAAGTTAGCTATGGTGTTGCACAACAAAATTCTTTCGAATTTTTCTGCTAAACCAGCTGCCAAGCGCTATGTATATAGAAAATAAAAACTGTATGGATTTCCTATAAATTTGAATCAGAAGCCAGAAAAGCACAAAGCGAAGCTTAGGTGCAGACATCATGTTTAAAACTGCTTGCAGTTAGGGGTTGGGTGTCAAGGATTTCCTCTAGAGTGAATACTTCATTTTTCAGATATTTTTGGATTTTATTGCCAAGTCGTTTTAAATTTTAAAGTTTTCTTCCCAGTTTTTATTGGTAATTTTCGTTATGTACATAAAAATTATAATCAATAATAGAAAAAAATTATTTGTCAAAAGAATATAAAATACTTATTATTGTTTAATGCTTATTATCCTAGGTTTTAAATGGTAACGGGCTAGTTGAGTCATCATTATGAAATCTTCTTTCTCCACCGGTTAGTGACCTGTACGGACCCCACGGGATCTAGAAATTTCCTCTTCCGTATGGTCGGAAAAATTATTATGACCCATACGATATGTTACGGTGCCAGCTTCATATTTTTTATTGTGCTCCTCAATTCGTTGATTAGCTCGAGCAAATGTTTCGCGACGCATTTTATCTTCTGCTTCGTCTTTATAGTTCTTGTTGAATTTTTCCTATTTTTTTTTTTTTTTTTTTTTTTAGATAAAACAAGTATAAATTTAAAAGGAAAATTCTTAAAATTTCTCGAAAAAAGGTAGAAAGCTTGAACTTCTTGTATAAATTGCTAAGTGAATGACAGCAACAGATTTTCTTTCAAATTTTTGCAAAAAGTATTTGGAAATTCAATGCCACGGAAAAGAGAGAGAGAGAGAGAGAGAGAGAGAAAGAGCGAAGTAATGATTATAAATATATTCTTACAATCTATTCGATATACAAAGTTTCTTTTTGAGTTTTCAACAAGTATGATCCAAATGATCACATCACGGTATAGGCAGATGAACAATTGTGTACAAGTGTTGCGGATATAATGACCTTTGCTTTTATAGTTTTATTTTAAAGCTATATCCATATATGGGATGATATCTGTGTCCTTAAAAATTAGTTTGTTTACTTTAAAAGCTGAGTGAATCACTTGCTCATCATTTCCTTAGCACTTATCTAGCAAGTTTTGATTATACTCTGCTTTTGGTTACTTGGTAAACTTTCGTTTCTATTGAATGGTTTTCTTACCTTGTAAGTTATCCATTCTTCGTCACTTACGCTGGTCATTTTTATAAAAACAAATAATGTTTCAATTCGATATTAATTGCATTTACGTGTTTTCAAGTACTGCTTTGTTCTTTGTTTTTTAGAATGAATTTACGTTAAAAATATTAAACAGGGTATCCAACCCAGGTTCAAAACCAGCGGATTTGACGAAGAATTTACATTTTATAAAAGTCACGGTCATGTGAGTGTAGGAACTGCGAGAAAATTTTTGATGTTTGAACTGTTGAAATATTGTGCAGTCTTATTTCATTTTTTAGCTATCTTCAAGAATCAGAATACTTTTTCTCTTGTAAATTAAACCAACATCTGGGATTAATGGGTATTTGCCTTTTACATCTATTTAAGCAATACATATGCATGTAATATTTTGTTGATGTAAAATATACAAAATATAGTGGCATAAGTATATGTATGCATAGGCGTATATAAATAATAGATAGTAAATTTGAGCGGGCATTAAGTACTAAACTAAAACACGTAATAAAAACTAAGCAGAAGATTATAAGGGGATGACGTGATGGGGCGTCATTGTCTTACTCTTGTTAAAACCCCCAAATGATAAGCACAATGGGCAGGAGTGCTGCCTTATTGTTTGACAGGAAAAGGTAAACAAAAACATATGGTTTTAGAACCAAAAATAAAGAAATCAGCGTAAACGTAAACAACAGAAGAATAACAATAAGAATGTTAAAGGCATTCTATTGATATCAACATTAGAAATAACATGACATTTGGCAAACGGCAGCTGAAAAAATTTTTTCGTACCTTATAGGTAGTGTTAATGGAAAAACGACAATTTAAAAAGAAAAAAAAAATTTTTGAAAAAGAAAAGAAATTTTTTAAAATTTTTTGAAAAAAATTTACATATTAAATTTTTTCTTTTTTCTTTCGGATTTTTTGTAAGTATTCCCCGGCATCACAGCTAAAACAACATCAGCCTGTCTCCCTAGCTGCGCCGCTACATGTAGCGACTGTGATGCACCTAGCAGTTCCTTTTTCAATTTAGGACGATGTTATGTTTTTCGCAATAAATGGAAATTTCATTTTTTTCGATTCAATCGTCAATCAAAATCTCTGAAAAATTGCGACCTGCAGGCCAACAGGGTGAGCAAAAGAAACAACATGGGCAGACGGACGAAGGGAAAGACGATCCCGAAAGCTTAGATTTAGAAAGCGATTTGTCGGTGGATCTGTCTCAAGTCCTTCTGGGTGTTACGTACATTCGTACCTAATAAAGTTTTGTATCACGAGTATTGCAGGTTATAACAAAGAGATATTAAACAACCAATAGCGAAATTTATTGTGAAGGAACACTTACTTTTAACTTCTAATTTCAAAAGTTATATTAGTTACGCTATTTAACACTAAATTAATTAATCATTTTGCCATTTTTATTGATCAGCGCTCGTAAAATTAGTGCTTGTCTTTTGCTTGTCCAGGTTTGAGTCACTGGGTATCAAATAACGTGCTTCAAAAGAAAAGTATAATAAAATTTTTCAATATAAGTTTTTCACTAAAACGAGCTTCTTGGTTTATGAAAATCATAAATGGACTTGTAAAAAAAACGGGCGGCGCTACAAAATGGATCTTTTCTGTTATGATTACTTAAAAATTTTTAATATTAATATTTTGAAGTGGTTAGCAGGGGCATAGCAAAATTGATTTTCATCTCTGCTCTTAATGCTAACAATTTTTTTAGTAACAATGGTTTTGGTAACAAAAATTTAAAAGCGTATATTCCGAGGTCTGTCGCGGAGAGGTTCCGAGTTATTCGCAACGTTTCCATTGTATATGGTGTAGACGAGATAATCGAAAAAGCTCTGTCAGTTCATCCTATTAAGTCTGCTGTTAGGCTTCGAAGAAGAAATCCTAACAACACGGACGAGTTTATTCCCACAACGAGTATTAAAATTGGTTTTAAAGGGAAAGCCCCCAAAGCGATCAGATTCAATTTTTCGAAACTTCCCGTGGGGTCCTGCGTACCCACCTTAAAGCAATGCGGTAAATATAGACGTGTTTCAAAGTTCTGTAAGGCCAAGCAGGAAAGGTGTCTAAACGGCGGAAACTCTCCCAAATGCGAAAACTGCGAAACGATAATGTACTTGTCCCGTGATTCAGGCGAGCGCAACGCTCTAAACCAGTGTTGTCCAAACAAGGAATGGTAATTAAATATCAACAAGATTATGGCCATTAAAAATTTTTCCTATAAAGAAGTGAAAGAGAAGCTTTCCTCAAACTACTTTGAATATCTGGATGACAACTACTACGATAACAATTTGCCTCCATTGGCGAACACTTCCGCCGTTTCGAGCAAGGATGATAGTGAAAACGCTAATAAGACTTTAGCAAAGAAAAAATTTAATGCGGTCGTTAAAAAGAAATCTGTTATTTTCATTCTTGTTCCATTTCACCACCCAAGCCTTTCCCAGCTCACCCCCTTAGCCGTCTGTAAAAATATCTCAGCGGCCAATAATTTCAAACAATAATTTGCATTCCTCGGAATTTGATAGATTAATCTCTGATGAAAGAATGTACCCGTGTCTCTCGATGAAAGAATGTACCCGTGCAATGATCCCTCTGAATCTTGTTAAGGGATTTGAAGAAAAAATCTCTCAATGTCCTAACACTCGCTACGATCAAGTGCCTAGTAAGACGAATAAATCCTCTGGAGTTCCGTTTCTTTTAGAAATGGTCTTGAAAAAAGTTGAAGTAGTTGTGGTATAGAAAGCAATAAGAGAAATTCCTAAGGGCCTTCACTTCGGAAAAGTTTTCTGGAAAAGTTAAATTAGCAGATAAATCAAGTAGAGTTTTTGAAAATTTCAAAGCCTACGTAATCCCTTGTGCCTTATTCCCATGGAAAAGAACCCCACCTTTCTTGGTATGAAGATTGTGATTGTGATATATTTTGGTAAGCAGAACTAGCGCTGTGCGACGAACCGAATGTAATGTTGTGCTGCCCAAATTTGCTCAGGCAAATTATGGTGACGATCCCAGTGCTTGCGGTGGCCAGAAAGATTGTAATACCAGATCATTATTTCGCAGAAGGGCTACAAGTACGTGATGGAGTAGTAGCAAAAATAATGAAGACCATCGAGAATCCATTCTTAAGACAGCTTATTTCTTTTTACCGAAAGGGAAGGCCAATGGTAAAGCAGATGCTGCGTGACCCGAACCGCTTACTACAATTGATTAATAAATTCACTTACGTGTTTCTAGTTTCTTATCTTCATTTTAGGTTAACATTGGTGGACTTATACTCGCCTTTAATTGCTTGTGGGTTGAGATCTCCTTTGTACTTGAAGTGAAATAATACGTTTTGTGGGTAATGAATTCGGTTTTTTCTTTTTGTTTGTTGTTTGTTTATTATTGTTTTGAAAAAGTTTTCATTTTTTGTTGTAAATTTTTTCATACGTTTGCATATTGTTTAAATTAATAATTTTTAATTTTTATTTCACATCAATTGTATTCGTTTTTAATTGCTTAAAAATTTACATGCTATGGCAGTTATAATTAATTATTCTTTTCATTCATTTTTCTTTATAATTTGAAAAAAAGGAAAATAATTTTTAATTTTCTTAAACTGAAGACTAAGGTGAAGTTGAGAAATGCAAATTTACTTTGAAAAAAGTACACAATCTATATTCGCCTTGAGGCGAATCCTGCTTACCCACCACCACCGCCTAGCTATGATTTAAAGGCAAATAAACTCAAAAGAGAACAATTTTTTGCCTGACATAGGATTTAGAGGTAAATAATGGGAAAATTAATTTCGGAGCAATGCTCCGCCCGAAAGGATGAATCGTTGGATAAGAATAAGAATATTTTGTCCCTTGTCATTACTAATTAAATTTTTCAAGTATGCCAATAGGAGTAACAGACAAACCCGAACATACTGAATTCCATGTTGATCCCCAAAAGGACAACCAAGGAAATTGAAGACTTGATACGTTACACTTCTATATGAAGAACACCACAAAACTTGTAAATTTGATTCTTCCGGTGGTGAGTGTAAAAAGCGAATAATTTCAAGACATTAACAATTATTTAATGGAAACGCATCATGCATTTTACAGACATTTTTTAAATGTGTATGTGATGACGTTTCATTATTTTTAATAAAAAGAAAGAAAATACTTAAGTTTATAATAAATGTTTTCTTCTTTTTTTTTTTTTTTTCTCTTTAACAATTAAAACAAAATACAAATAATCTTATATTTATGCAGATAAATGTATAATAATAAATTTAGTTGCCAAAATCTTTAAAATTAACAACAAAACAAATCAAATAAACAGAAAAAATATAATTAAAATTTTGTTTTTTTTCTTTCCTCGTTTTTCACTAATTAAGGTAATAAGAAATTTAAAGCAAAAATAATTAATTGATAATAAAAATTTTGCTTACACAGGACATTCGTTCGTTGATAGAGATGAGTATCGCGACTTTGTATGGTGAAGAGGTTTTAAAAACCCCGAGGAAAATTATCAATTTTAATTTTCACATGTTTTGTTTAAGAATGACGCGTGACATATAGTAAGAATAGTAAGAACTTATAACTTGTCGTTAAGTGGGAGACATTTTAGCAGGTATGTCTAACAAATACAAAATCCCATATAGTTGTTCAAGGAAGTATGGGAAACGCGATCAAGATCAAATATGTTATAAAAATTTTCATTTTGCAAATCATACAAAGGCCTTTCTGCCACGAGTGATAACTCATCAGTGCGACGAATGCCCCGGTTTTTGTTTATCTTTTCAGTGCAGTGATTCTTTATGCAGTGATCGATGATGTCTGAAATGTAATGGTGGGAGAGAGAGAGAGAGTAAGGTTTATATATTTTTATATTTGTATAAAATGGGTGCCAAGTTACATAAAATATGTTCATATCTATATGTATATATATAATAATTATGTTTCGTGTTTATTTATCTTCGGATAATACAAAAGAAAACTCGCTTCGGTTTTGGGTGATCTTTAAATACACAATTATAGAAAAATGGAAAACATATTTTTAAAGCGTTACTCTGTTATTAATAAAATTTTATTTTCTCAAGAAGAAGAAAAAAAAAATAATAATAAATTGCATCACTTTAATTACATAATGCATTGCCTGTCCGTGAGTTTTTTAATTTTCCTTTGTTTACATATTTTATAATAAGAATAATTTAATTTATTTATTTTTGACTTATATTTCAAAAATGTCTTATTAATCATATATCATATATAATCATATCATTTGTTTGTTGTATGCGAGAATATAAAAAAGATTCGTATAATATAAAATTTTTATTTATATATCAATTTAAGCTGCTCTAATATTTTTCTGCCTTTGTTATTAATTTGTATATGTTTTCTTTTTTGTTTTTTTTTCATTTTGCTTACGATTTTGTATTTAATATGCCTCTTGTGTGTATAGTTGTTTTTTTTTTTTGTCTGTCTGCTCATGTTTTGCTGAACTGATATAAAAATATTTTGTTAAATAAATTTCTTGTTTAAATTAATAATTTTTTTTTTTTTTTTTTTTTTTTTGCACATAGTTGTTGTTCTTCTTTAACATTTATATAAATAAAACGCACCCGAGTTGCGCGTGCGTTAATGATTTTGAATTCATTCATACAATTATTATACCTGGGTTTAGGTGAGAGAAGAAAGAAAGAAGCCCTTACTGAATTGAGTATAGAATAGTTTGTAATAAACAAAAGTAGAATTGTTGTTGTTGTTGTTTTTTTTTTTTTTCATTTCTTTCTTATTCTTGTTGTATTTTTGTTAATTGTAGAGAATATCATAGTTTTTCCAGTTTTCTAATAACAATTTTTATTCATGCTATTATTCGTTATTTGTATGTGTTCAGAGTTGCTGTAATGTTGTGGTCCTAATAACCTTAGGCTTCGGGCTTCTTTTTCTCCTTCTTCTTTTTAAGGAAAGATGGCGTCCGCAGACCCTTCTTCTTTTTCTTGTCTTTCTTAGGAGAACCATCCGTTGAAATATCCTGGAACCGTAATAGAAATTTGCAATCATAATATCGTTTATGGTTTGATTAGTAACACACACATAGAATATAATGAAACGAACAATTACATTTGAATTTGAATTATGAACAAAGTAATCAATACGCATTTAATTTCGTAGTGAAAAACTTGTATGTATGTAAATCACAAGTAATGACAACCGAAAATCTCCTATTCACTCTAAGGAAAAAAAGTTATGATATTTTCCCCCATAGATGGCTAATTCTATTAAGCGCCATATTAGGGAGTATGTGAACGAAGATTTCGATGTTTATGATAACTCAATCAGAAGTAATTGCCCTTTCAAAATTACCAATAATTCTGAATAAATCGTGGCATTTTATATTAGATAGAATCGTACAAGTAATTTCCTTTGTTTTTTTTTTATCAGATCTTTATTTTGCTTTCATCGAATAAGAAAAAAAACCTCTCCTTATTTCTTCAGATGGCAGTTAATAGTTGAGTGTAAGGTATTCAATCTTTTTGCTATACGTCTTGTTGATTGGTTGGAAACTTTGCTTCAATATTGTCTTTCAAAAGTAGGCGTCAAAGTCGGAATGATATCTTTTCACCATATAAAAATTCAGTTTTCATAGAAAAAATCAGATGAGAGGAAGCTCAAAAAATTATCTCAGCGGCTATCGTCGAAAATTTTTGAAAACTGGTAGCTTTTCTCCACCCAATCACTTTCGAAAATAAGACGTTATGTGGTTAAGTGATCGAAAAAGTGGGCCAATCGGAAGTATTTTCAATAGCGTTGCTCGGCCCATCACATCTTGATGGATCAAATTTCATCAAGAATACAAAACTGGCGGGACGGACAGACAAGCTCCGTACAGTGAAAGCCGCGTCTATTTCAAGTCCTTCTGGATATTGCAGGTATGGGCACAAACTGAACGTACCTAGCAATTGTTCATATAACCATTTTTAACACTAAGACGTTGTATGGAAACTGATCGCAAAACCCCGCCGATCGGAATTATTTGCAATAGCATTGCTCGGCCTATAACATCTCGATGTATTAAATTTCACCGATATATATGAACGCAAGAATACAAAATTGACTCTTTCCGAATGTTGCATGCAACCGCACAAACTGAATATGCGTTTGCATCACAAGTGATGTGGGGCGTAAATACAATTAAATATATAATTATATAAATAAAATGTAATTAATTATTAGTTATGGGTTTTTAAAATAAATGTTATATTTATATGAATATTTACCTCTTTGCTGCTATGTGAAAATGTGCTCAAATGGGCTTCCGAATGATCACCGTTTTGAACATTCTCACCTATAAAAATGAATTTAAAAGAAAATTTCAAAAATCATTAATTTCCGCTTTTTCAAGATGGCATTTAAATACACGTAACTGTCGATAGGTTTGATTGATTGATTCGAGTTAATGTAGATGATAGGAGGTTTTTTAGGAAAGACCAATAGAATCTTTGGTGATTTTTTTTTTTGATTGTACCAAATTGCTACATTCTCAAATTGATTGATTAGTGTGATATATATAACATGCTTTTATGATATGTGCGTTTGTTGATGTTTACAAGTTGTGAAGAAATTAATTAGAAGCGAAATGAAAAGTAAATAATAAAATATATGAAAGTAAATTGATTATAAAAAAATGATTAAAAAATAAATCAACTGAAAACAATTACCTGATTAGCTATTTACACCGATTTTACTTGCTTAGGCTTATGGTATGAATGAAAACTTGATATGTTAGAAATTTTGATGTGGTCATGCACAGGATTCCAATCGAGTTATTATTTATGTTTACGTTTATATATGAGTGGTTTTTTTTTTTTTTTTGTATTTTATTCATATGAAAAATATGAACTTAAAATTGTACAATATTTTTTTTTTTAAATTAACTTATTTTAATTCAAACATAAATTCCAATTAATTAAAAAAATAAAAAAATAAAAAAAAATGTATTAACAAAGTCTACGCGCGATATGTCATCAAACTTCATTTATATCTATGTAAAGATAATTAATTTTAAAGAAAATAACTTACAATTCTATGTTTTTGTTGATATTAGTTTTCAAATCAAAGAGAAGGGTGGAAAAAAAACCTAACTGTTATTCTTAGCTTTTTTAAGAAATTAATATTTAAAAAAAGTCAAACTATACTTAATTTAAAAATAAAGGAAATAAAAAAAAAAAAACAATTCATTTTTGTTTTTGAAAACCTTTCGCGAATCCCCTTAAAATCATTGAAGGGAAATGAAATTTCATTTAAAAATCTTACTTAAAAACGTCAAACGATTTTTGTTGATCATATTTCATTAGAGGTCCTACATGAAGACTGCTAGTACGAATATCTTCAGAAATTTGTGTTACTTTCTTTTTACATTCACACATATTTTGTATAATACCGTTAAGTAGCGTTTCTAACTCATGTTCTAACTCAGCTAAGGTGTGACGATAGCGTAAACTATGCAAAGAAAATAAATTTGCCTGAGAATCAAACTTCGTATTAATACATAGAGGTGAGGAGATTGAAGAATTTCCACAAATATGAGGCATATGATGATCGGTTTCAGTAGGGTTAGCCTTACGATCCGATACGCTGATCGATTCGGGCGCTGACAAACGTCGTGATGGAAAATTTAAAGTGTTTTCATATAAACGTGATTTCTCATCTTCTTCCTTATCGGCATCATTGTCAGGATCTTGATTTTCTAATTCTTGTACAATTAAATGAATTTCATCATCAATCACTTTTTCCAATTTTGCTTTAAATTCTCGCTCATGAATTCGTAGACTTTTCACGCACTCACTATTACGTACGGTAACATTTATGTGAATTTCTATTGCCGCCGAAGATGACGAATCATTTGAGGATACACAAGAGGTGTAAGCTTCGGCATTCCTCTGCGGTGTTTTTTTATTTAGTTCTAAACATGGTTTGTTCTTATTATTTAAAGCAATTGCTCGCCGTTTCAACGTATTCAGTGTGAGTGTGATATGCTTATTATTAGTTAATTCGCTGTTGTCGTTATCCTCTTTATAATGGCAATGTAAATTTTTAACCCGTTGCTCAGCTTCGGGTTTATGAGGATCATGATACTCGTCTTCTAACATTTCTGGCTCGGCCTCAGCTTCGGGTTTGCGAACATGATTATGGTATCCGTCCCCTAATATCTCTGACTCTGATCCTTTCCTCCCTTTAAGATTTTTCACGGGTTTTCTGCTCGTAGTATTTCTCGATTGCTTAGTCAAATAATGCTTGCAAAGAAGATTTTCATTTGAATAATGCTCAGTAGAAATGCAGTTTTCCGTTTCATCTTGATCGATTTCAATAATAGAATGCGTTTGAGAATTTGTTCGATAAGTACCACTTATGGAAAGTAAAGAAGAACAATGTTCCGAATTCAATTCTGATCCTTTGTGTGATCCTTGAAAGTGAGAGGATCGTTTTAAATTTTCATTTTCTTCGGCTGATTTGTTAAATAACTGTACTTCTTTAATAGACACGAACGAGCCAGTCTTTCGTAAAGTTTCTAAATCAAACGATTCATTTATTGGTTTACATTTACCGATTATCTTCTCTCCCGTCTTTTTATGATCCAACACTACAGCCTGATTGTCTACGAAATTTAAACGCTTGATGAATGCTATAATTTTTTGTCTTTGCAATTCGATCGGTGTTAATAAGCAGACAGGTTGTAATGTAAGTGACGGCCTATATGTAATCGGATAATTGAAGCCATAATGCGATAGAGTACGATAGGGAGGCGACGAACATAAATCTGCATTCGAACTATGTGCGCAACAATTTTCGGCATTTGTCATGTCGAAGGTCTCTTTTGACTCGTCGCACATTATCTTCTTCGTAATAATGGGATATGTGTAGTGAGGATAGATTTCAATTTTATATATCATAAATAAATGAATAGATTTTTGCATTAAATGCATAGATGATGACCATTGAGTTTTATAAAGAAATGAATATTTTTGAGTTAATTTCGTGAGGCTATTCGAAAGATAATTGTTAGCAGATGTGTGGAAAATGTCAAGAGTGTGTTGAAAATGATGCATTGTTTCGATTTTGATTTCTAAAGCGAAAAAATGAATACAATATGAATGAATTGAATGAAAATTGATGTGTGCGTGCGTGCGTGCGTGCGTGCGTGATGGCCATATGCCAAAAAAAGAACTTCACTTCAAATCAAATACATTTAGACATAACCATAACAACAATTTAGTATAAATAGTGCAATTAACAATATTTTGAATATTACAAAATACAAATATACCGTAACAGTATAAAGTTATTTACTCATACAACAATTCAAGTTAGGTTTTAGTGTAAATAAAAATAAAATTATAATATATAAATTAGAATATGAAACCATAACCACATGTATGCACACATATATTACATGAGTATTAGTAAAAAAAAATTTTAATAGCATCTTTCAATTTACAGATATATTTAAAAAAAAACATTATTTCAGAGTTCAGCAGTTTTTATATCGAATTCAAAACAAATCTTTTGGTTTAAAAAAAAAAAAAAATACAAAAAAATTTAGAATAAATTGTTATCATAAAGAAATGTATGTAGATTTTAAAATAAAAAAGTTACAAAACGTTAAGTAAGTTGCCAATGTACAAAATGCCGGTAATAGCGTATATTTGATCAAAAGTCCAAAAAAATTCGAAAAAAAATCAAACACTTATAGATTGTTGTTTTTCCTCTTTTATCACTTTACACTTCTTCTTATTCCTTTCCGTTCGTATTCGAATCAATCTTCAACTTCAGATAAGGGCTAACAACACGACAAGCAACATCTTCGACAGATTGCTGCCTAACAATCCGCTCCCTAAACTCCTTTTGTTCGTTAATTAAATCCTGTTGAGTAGCCGCACATTCATCCATATTACGTGCGCATCGAGCTACCCGATCGCCAAAATCGGCTAATTTGCTTTGATATGTATCCAAACGCGGTTGTATCTTTTGTATTTCCTCACCTAAAGCACTTATCGCCGCATCCACCCGGGTGACTTCAGTTTCTGAGGCGATCACGAAACTGTGCACACTAATGCTCGCGTTACAATTGCTTCCTAACAGAGTTTCTGTCGCTTTCGAATCTCTCGCCGCAATAGATTTTTTATTGAAAGCATCTAGAGAGTTCTCTTTGTTGTCAATATTTTGTTGTAATTCCATATTCTTGTTCTTTTTCAAAGAACGTTTACGAATTTTACCGCTGCCGGAAGCAATCGCCATGTTTTTCTTAGTTCGAAGAGGACTTTCTGATAAGCTTACCCAAAATCTCGGAGAACCTCTTACTAATTTCGACTGGAAACTATATACATTGGGAACGGACGCTGACAAAATTGTACTATTGGACGCAGTTAATAAATTAATATCACTTGCAACTTCTGTTACTGCTAATCGTCGCGCGGTCGATACTCGATGCAATGAATTGTTTGACAAGGTTGTTCTTGGACTCAATGGCACCTTATTAAATAATACCGTTTGTGAGGTGTTTCGCAAGCGTCTTCGATTGACTTGATATCGAGGTTTTGCCGCATTGCGTATATTTTCCATAATAAAATTACGGCGTCCCGTATGAGCGGAATTTACGGTAGTCTTCGAAGCAGAGCCACCAGATCGTATTTCAGGATTTAAACGTGCCGAGCTAGGTTGCGATAGCACGATGTCATGACTGAACTTATTCGCTGGAGAATTATATTTGTCGAAAGGAGAAGAAGAAGATCTGCGACAAAAAACTTGTTGTACATCCTCACCTGAAACCGGCTCGTTTCGTGTTGGTGCCATCATATTCTGTTCAGTGCTGTTGGCTTGCTTTTCATGCTCTTCAAATTTGGTGGGCGTGGATGTAAGAAAATTATTATTCACTTGTGGAGTACTGCTATTCTCTACAACCGATTTGCCCAATGAATTCTGCTTTACCAGTAATTCCAATTTGAAAGGCGTCAACTTATTACGTATACTGCTTTCAATTTTATTAAAGATCTCCGCGGATTTATTTAATTGATTTATTTCAATTTTTTTTAAAATTTCACGTTCCATCATCGAAAATTGCGGCAAATTGTTATCGTTCTCTCGGACATTTTCTTCTTCTTCCACTAGTGTGAGATCGTTCGATTCGAGAGTGGCCTCTTTTCGATTCTTCGTGAATACCTCATCGATTTCCTCAACTTGCAAATTTTCCACATTCTGTAAAATATCTTCCGAATTGTCGCTAACATTTGATTGAACATCCCATTCGCGTTGAATTACTATATCGTGATCGTCATCACTGTCATCATTCACTACAATACGGTCATCGACGCTTTTTAATTCATAAATATATTTATCTTCTTCGTCTACATTGTGGCCTTCACCAGATAATACGTCAGTAACTTCAAAAATTTCTACTTCATTCGAACGGCTCTCCCCTTCTGCTTTGTCATATTCTTGTTCATCGCCTGTGTTCGCTTCACTAGACTGTTTTTCTTCGATTTGGAAACCTCCATAGCTGCGTTTCAAGTCCAGTGTAGAAGAAGCTGCTTCAGGAAGATTGTCTAAATCTTCAAATTTTGAACTGTTTATGCGTTTGTTCCCTATGAAAGTTTCAACAATTCGTTCACAAGATCTCCGTTCGATTCTACGATAGGCAAAGTCAGCGGCAAGGTTTGTACATCCATAAGAGCGGATCAATAAATTTTCATTTGAAGAACTTGGCTCAGAGAGAGAGAAAGTACGCTGCGATAAGGAAAGACAGTCATCGTTAGATGACTGCTGTGATAAATGTAGTTCCTTGTTCGCCGCTTGCTCGTTCGGATCAGAATAATCAGTTTTTTGTCGGGGCCGAACCAATGATGACCGAATGATCACACTATGACCATGGAAAACTTCAGTTCCAAGATTTTGCGATATAGGGGAAATAAAAGATTCTCTGTCTTGATCAAAATTCTGTTGCTGCTGTCCCTCCTCTATGGCAGACTCATCATCACTAAAAGTACTGGAGTAGCCTTGTTCAAGATTTTCGCAATTCGTAATGTCATCTTCCACCCATAGCTCTTGAAACTCTACATTTCGTCCCTCTTGATCAGTACGATTCTTAAGGCTACGAGAAGAAGAGTAACCTGGTTTTTCGTTGCTATCGAAATTTTCAAGTTGCTGTTCTTCTTCCGGCACAGTAGAAGAGCTAAGTGAAACCGTTTCAGCTCTGTTAAACGTTACAATTTCATCCGTTTGCGTTTTAGTGGAAGTAATTCCTTGCGCGTCTTTCTCATCTATATCTTCCAAGAATAAATCAGATTTGTCATTTTGTAAATGTCTTTCACATGATGTACACTCTTCATTTTGAGTACACTTTTCATTTTGTACATGTTCTTCTTTGGAATCCATCCAATCACCGAATTCCCATATTTCTGTTATCGATACAAAACGTGCACGGTTATGATTGGTTGGCTCCTCTTTGTCCTCCTTTCCTACATTTTCTTCTCGCTGATGGTCAAGCATTTTATCACTTGAGGCAAACGCTTCATTTTCAAATGTTCCATCAGCTGACTCCTTTAACCTTTCGTTTGAAGACGCTTCTTCAGCATTAACATTAGTATTTAACATTGACAAGCTAGTTTTCGAGGTAGGCGGTGCACTCAGATAATTAGCATCTGGCGCTTCAGAGAAACTCATGGAAGAAATTTTCTCCATAAATGAATTTATTGCAGAAATTCCTGCGTTAACTATAGCAGATGTGGTTCTATCCTCGGAGCTTTCACGTTCTTCCACTTCAAGGAGTGGTTCCAAACCAGATGAGAAAGCTGCAATAGGTTCGGAGATTTCAGAGACAACAGTTTCCAAATCGTAAGTGTTCGTTAGAGTTTCCAAATTTGCGCCAGTCCCAGCTTCCACCATTTTCGCGTTATTTGCGTTGCTGATTGTTGGACTATTGGACGCTATCGGACATTCAGCTAAATTACGCAATTTAGCCCGATAGCTGATTAACTCCGGTTTAAGACGTACTATCTGTTCAAAACAATGCTCGCAAAGATCTAAATAACGCGGTGATGAGAAAATCTCTTCGTAAGAAATGGAACGACGTAGTGGCACATATTTCTTTGGCTCGCTAGGTACGGGCACATGTTTGTGTTCTGGCTTTGAAAATTTTTGTGGCGACTTGAAACCAAAATGTGATACAGTACGATATGGGCTCTGACGCTTATGGACCTTGTTACGCAACTTACAACTTTTTTGCGGCGTATCAACTCTGGCCCGACGCAACGCATAATTTATTTCTGGCATAGAAGCCGGTGATGTGCTAAATGGATGGCTAAACGGTATATTCCAAATAAGATCCTGCTGAACGAATTCCCGTCGAGGTTTCTGCATAGAACGGAATATAATTCCACATATATTGGGAGTGGAGCACTGTGCTGATTTCTTATAAGAGTTTTCTGCATTCACATCATAAGAAGCGACTGTTGCATTAATTAAGTTATCGTTGGTCTCGTCATATAACAGCGATTGATCATAGTCGTCGTCATGCAGGAAGTCACGGTTATTAGTAGCACCGTAATACGAAAAAGTTTCATATAGATGAGGAGAATAACAATCAGTGTTCGACTTGGACTTTTGATTACTACTATAGGGTTGAGAGTAAATTAAATTATTTGCATAGCTATTACCGTTATTTATGCAATCGGTACTACATGGGCAAGACGGAGGATGTACATGTTTCTCTTTTTGCCGTTGAAACAATGAATCAGATTTCAATTCTTTTATTAATTCTTGATTACGTTTGATTTGGAACTTGTCCTTTGATAGACCCTGAAAAGGGATACGGTTACTTGAATTTGATTTTGATTGTTCGCCGTCCGCTTGTTGCTGTTGATAATATCGAGCTTGATTTGAATTTGAGTCTTGATATAATTGAAATCTTTGTAAAATTTGTTCATCTAGGTATAAATACAAATAATTATAATCGGATTAAAAATTTTGTTTAGACAATGGAAGAGAAACAGAGAAATAACAGAGAAATAAAGGAAGAAAGGAAAAACCGAATGAAAAGCTTGGGAAGAAGAAGAAAAAGAAGAAGAAGCT